TGTATTTTAAAAACCTATGCCCAACTCACTGATTTGTTGTTATAAATAAACTGTCATGCTTTGAGATAAATGCCAGAGCCTCGGCTCATTTGTGTCAGTTGAGAATTCAGCCCGAAATACGCTGAGCATTTCTATTCTTTTGAAATATGCCTGGCTTGCTCCTGCTTATGCTGACACTGACTCTTTTTTACCCTCTTTTGCCTTCTTATGTACAGGTTAATGTTTCTACAGGTTGCCTGCCTTTCCAATAACTTCAAACCTTCAGCAAAAAATAGCCTCTGACACAGACACGGTAAAACCACGCCCAGTCCTGCAAACGTTTTCACATACAATTAGCTTCACGGGTACGAGGAGCTCCGCTGAAATCCAGCGTTGAAATAAATGCTGCTTCAAAATTTAATTATGCAGGGAAGATTTTGCTGGATGGGGGCCTCACTGACGAGCTTTCCACTGCACTGCTACTCAAATGCCACCTCTGCTAATCAGCCGCCTTCCATCTACCCCTCCAGCGGCAGCTGAAAAATCAGACTTTCTGCTCTAGCCCACAGGGTTACACATTTTTGTCTTCTGCCCAGTTTGGCAGCTACTAGCCCCGACAGAAAGACCTCTCCCAGCGACGGGGAGAGACTTCTGCCAGCAAATACGTGTGGAAAAAAAAAAAAAAGGATGGGTGGAGCAAGGAAGCCAAGCCAGCAGAAAAGCCGAGGGGAGCGCGGGGCCACTCACCTGTGGAAGTGGTGCCAGAGGTGCCCATCGGCTGGCTGTTCATGTGTGTCTGCATGTGAGGAGGGGTGTATGTATCATAGCTCCGTCCATTCACCGATGGACTGGTGGGCAGCATGCAAGAGTAGGAGGAGGTCTGGCTGGGTACCGGGGGCTGTGGGAGCAAAGCACAAAACAGTGTTAAGCATCGGCTGAGGTAGAGACCAGGTTACGCTCTTCTGGAGGGACATGGCAGCCCTCAGGAGCAGCGTGCACAAGGGAAAATGAGCTTTGGTTTCAAATTCGGGGACCTAAAGCCCTATTTAGGAGCTCAACCAAGCAGCCTCGTCCCAGAGGTTTTTTGTCTACGGAAGCAATGTGGACGGTCACCGACGCCTTTTCAGACACGCTTGGTGAGCAGATCCCTACATCTAGATGCTAACAAAGATGTCACATACCTAAGCCAAGGAACCAAAGCCCCTGTTTGTGCTCATGTAGAAGAAAGATGCCCCCCGCCATTCGCAGCCACAGAGAGACAGAGCAGGGCTGGCGCGCACGTGTGTTGATCACTGGTCAGGGCCGCAGTCGCCCCAAACCCCTGCCAGCAGCATCCCAGGAGACCAGACGTCTCCGTTTACCCAAACTCCAACCCCTACAATCCCATCTGCCATGGGGAGAGCAGCTGGGGGCAGGGGGTGAGGGATGGCATGGTGCCAGAGGGGGACCAAGCAGGGGCATCTCCCGCTCCGGGGTGATGGGGGAGTGGGGACCGGTGCAGCCCCAGCACGGGGAGGCGGCAAGGGAGGAGGAAGCGGGATGAGTAATTCCCGCTCCGAGCACACGAGACCCGACACGTCTGCACATATTTCCTCCGTCTGCACGTCCCCGACACCCGCGGTCTCTGAAAATACAGCCTCGCTCGCTAAGCACACAGACAGGGGGCCGGGGGGGGGGATGGGCGCACGTAGGCAGGACTTTCCAGAGCAGCTCACGCGTGCCAGGTCCCTGCCCAGGTGCCCGGCGGTGAACCGGGGGCCTCCTGCTTTCCCAAGGGTTCCACCCTGTATCAGCCCTTTGATCTTTCATCGTCTGCTGTCAGCGCGCTGCTGGGAATGGCACCACCGGCCTCCAACGTCACGAAACAGCGACCTAGGCAACGTCATTTCTTTCCGCGGACTTGCGAGACTCTAACTTTATTTGGTTAATTTTGGTTCACCAATTAGTAACATAGTAATTGCCGCAGCGAAGGAGTCAGGCTCTCTAATCTGCTCGCCTGTCTCCAGCAGTGGTCAATGCTGTGTGCCTCAGACAAAGCTGTAAAACTCCCGTAATTGGCCAGCACCTTCCTAGGCCAACCCCACCATTAAAAAAGGAGGAATTTTGCATCTGAAAGGTCTATAGAAACAGACCCCAAAGGAATAGATTTCTTCCTAACCCAGCTGGTGATCAGCTAATGCTTTCAGGCATGAGGATTGACAGCTCTTGCAATTCTGGCTTAGCTGGCATAACCACTGATGCTAATCACATCCTTCCCTCTCAGGTGTTCCTAATGCACCACCGCCGCACCACCTACGCCGGGAAGGTCGGATCCCTCCAGCAGCTCATTCGGGCGGCAGTTTCCACAATACTGCACCAGTGAGTTCCATAGGGTAACCATGATTTTCTTCCAAAGAGGATTTTTGTTATCCCACATTTACTGCCTTGTAATTCTGAGGGCCTTTCTCTTTCAAAATTCGGGAAAAGAGCTTGTCAGAGCACCGGGACTTACAGTGCCCCTTGCCTTGTGATTCTCCCAAAGTAGGGCGTCTTTTCAGAGGCCAGGGAATCCATTGATGCCAGTTTCCCTGCAGCACAGTTTGGGTACGAAACCCCCCATCCTGGAGAGGAAGGGCCCCCCGCCCCCGCACGTTCCGGGGGCTGCCGAGTCCCGAGGGAGCTCGTGCCGCGGCTGCGCTGCTGGACTTACTTGCATAGGCAGGTTGTTGGCCATGGTGAAGCTAGGCATGGGCGGCAGCGCGCTGTACGTGTTTGTGAGCGCCGTGTCCGTTCTGCCCAACATGGAACCTGATGTGAAAGAGGAAACTATAATAGAATAGACAGATAGACGAACACATTAGTTTAACCACAATTACAGCTGGCAATACAGTCTCAGAGTCGCGTTGTCCCCAGAGAATGGATGAACGTGGGCGGGTTGGTGGCATTACCGGGGGTGGTCGGTTGCGGGATTGGCTGGTAAACGCTTGTGCTGAAACTACTACTGATGGGAATGTGGCTGGGAGTGTTGCTGGCTTGTCTTCGCTGGTTCCTCAGCTTCTCTTCCCTTCTCCACTTGGCCCTTCTGTTCGAAAACCACACCTGAAAATACAGCGTTTAAGAGACATGAGTGACCTGACAAGGACTAGAGGCATGGGGCCTCCCCCTTGTAACTCAGGGCCGTGCCGATACAAAGCCGCTTGCAGCGCAGCAGAGCAGCGTGCGAAAGCAAACCCCAGCTGCTGGCCTTTTCCTGAAGGGGGAGATGGGCAAACACCCGCTCGTAAACAGGGGCTGCCCTGTGCTTTGAGAAGACAGGAATAACAGAACGAATAGTAATAGTAATAATAATGGTTGTAATCGCACAGCAACTCCGTACCTGTATCCTTGCTTCAGGCAGGTCTATTTTAGCAGCTAGTCTCTCTCTTGCAAACACATCGGGATAGTGGGTCCTCTCAAATTCTGCGGAAGGAAATACTGTTGTGTTAGCTGCAAAGACTTAATGTGGCCGACTGCAAAGTCAGAGTCGTTCCTGTGCTGCCTGTGCTCTAAATACTCTGAAGAAACAGGGCTGTAAAGGCAAAGCCGAGCTTTCTCTGCGCACGTGTGTGTGTGTTCGGAAGGAGGACGCCTTGCCTGCTGGGGAATATCGCCAAGGGGGTAGGCAGGCTGGGGTGCAATGCTGCATCTTTCAAGAAGCAACAAGGGCTTCTGCCTCTGCTAAGGGGGTCCCCAAGGCAGCTCTGACCCTGTCACCGAGAAGCGAAATGGCACGTCGCTAAATAACAGCGGAAAACAAGACCAAAGATCCGCAGTGGGTCAGAGGCGAGGTGCGCGCAGGCCGGCCAGGGAAAAGGGCACCTGCTCCCAGCCCCGGGCAGCGGCAGGGCTGGGGATTGGGGGCGAGCGTGGGGGCAGGCACACGGGCTGCTGCCAGCCCCAGCCGCCTGCCCTCCCCTTCCCGGCATAGGGCAATGCGGCCCGGCCGGGGACACGGCACTGTCGGCCGGAGGAGATTTATCCCCCGTGCGAGGAGCCTGGGGTGTAACACCGATGTTTCGGCATGATCTGTGCCCTGAGCACGTTCCCTCTGCAAACCTTCTATAGCAGCTTTTCGGTGCATACCGCAGCCATCAGTGAATATTCAGAGCTCAATGAATAAAAGAGCATGGAGGGAGCCATGGACTTAAAACATGCACAAATACGTGTACGAGGCACGTGAATGCCACGCTTCTGTTCAGCTCCTAACACAGCCAGGGCACGTTTTGCTTTTCTCTCCTGCTTCAGCCGTAGGAAAATGTCACTCACCTTTCTCAAGGGCTTCGATTTGCTCCTGGGTAAAGGATGTCCTGTTTCTCTGCAGCTTCCTTTTCAGCTGGAGTCTCATTTGGGCCTCGTCTGAATCTTCTCCATTAGAGCTGATGGAGTTAGTGTTTTCCCCTCCTCCCTCCTGTTGCGGACAGCCATCTGCGAACGGAGAGTCGGAAAGTGAAACGCAGGTACCCGTGTTTTGAGATCCCTATCAGAGAAATAAGGCGACTGGGAACAAGTTCGGCCATGTTTGCTGACACCCTCCCTGAAAAACATCTCGGGTATCAAAGCAGCGTTGCGCTGATGACACGGGTAACATGGAAACATTTCGGTTTCCAGCGTTATCGTAAACATCGGAGATGAGGAATTACGATCGCCTGGTCTTAATTTCATTTTGTTTTTCCTCTGGAATAAAGCCCACACGAAAATACTTCCCCCTGAAAGCGATTCTTTCCATGAATCGCTGCCGAAGTGCCACGGCAGTCTCCTCTGTCTGCTGCATTTATTTACCTATTGCTATATTTAAAATAGTGATGTTCAGTATTTCAGATTATCTATAATCAGTGATTCCTATCTAATCAATTAGATGTTGATAGGTTTGCAGAAAATGCTATTAAGAAACCAAACCAAGCTTGTAATCTTTTTTAAAAAATATTTATCCAGTTTTTATTTGAATTCTGCACAGTCAATTTCATTTTAAAGGTTGTGAATTTAGAAGTGCCTGCATTGTTCTGCAGTTTTATTCAACTATTGTATGAGTGTGCATTGCCTTGACACCTATTACTGAGCACAGCTGTAATTATATCATCACCAAGAACAGGCTATAATTGCTGAAAATGGAATTTTATATTTAGATAAAAGGACTGTCCATTCTTTGTACTGTGTTGCACCAGAGAAAAGTAAGATTTCTTTTAAAATTTTAACATGTAATTTTAAAAGAAATAGGAGCGAGTTCACTAACTAGCTCAACGCGCTGCTCTGCAGCCGGGCGGCTGGCGCACCGTTGCAGCGGTACGTGTTTAAATAGGGCATTTCCACAACTCCCAGGGCGGTTTCTGTCGCCAAACGGGGGGAAAGTTGCCCCGCGCTGTCCCTTCGGGCGGCGGCGGGGAGCGGGGCTCTGCGGGCACCCCGGGAACCCCCGCGCTCCCGAAGCCG